GGCTGAGCACATCTTATATGTCTTATATATACTGTTACTTAAAAGCGAAAATTTATGGGCATAGATAGATATGGGATAATTTGGCCAATTCCTCTTCATATTGCTCATGTTACTTTTACTTTAGTATGCGTTTTTGTGTCTTAACGTCTATACGCAATACCGGTCCTAAATTAAATAAGCCTTATGTCAGGCTCTGGTCATCAAAGCTTAATACCTTAAGACAAAATTAAGACCTATAATGCCCAAATTCATAAGTAACTTTAATTGAGATGATAAAATGTAAGCTTGTAAGCGTGTAAGTCAGGTTACGAAACCACATGTCAACCTCAGTCTAGGATCATTGAGGTTTAACAACCCAAGGAATGGAATGACTAGAGTCGCGTAATCTCTTACGGCTGGCTTGGTTTATTAGCCTAATCGAACATGTTGGATGAGTGTGAGTTAAGTTAGAAGCATCATTAGGCTGACAAGTTGAGCTGCATTTTTTTGGATGGCGGCTCAATCCTCTCTTTCAATCTATCAATCAAGCATTATTAATTCTTACTCAACTTTCTACCACCGTTCTTCACATTCGACATATTCCCAAATCTATGAATTTTAATAGCCTATATTATCTTTTAACAGTAGACAACGTATCATAATCTGCAAACCTACGCGTTTGAGACCATTTTATCTCATGTCTAGTCTCTGCCATTTATTTAGTCACTTTCGACAGCTGCCTTTACAAGCATTTTTGCTTTCTCATAATCTTTGTAGAATAGTCCGACACATCTCACCAACATAAGTTCAGTAACAGGAGCACACAATCTCATAGCTGTTGGATCTCTATAATGCGTTAATTTCTCCTTAAAAGGTGTCAGGGTTTCTTCGAACACTCTTTTTATCCACCACTTTTTTACTAGCTTGCCTATTTTTTTTTAGAAGGAAAGCATGATGGCGAAATTAGGACGTGATAAAATGTCTCCACTTGTATATATTTGACTACATAGTCTCTGACTGAAAGTTTACACCTCAGTAAAGAGATATTATTGTCAATTAGGCCCAATGGATGTTTTTTATCCTGGAATAACTCCTTCAACCGTTTAAACTCTATATTCAAATGATTAGTGTCTGCTAGTCTCGTACTACTAATAATCATTGAATTTTTATTTCTAATCTTAGTTTCGCAACTAATGTTGGAAAGAAAGAGCCAACTTTTATTGGCTTCATATAGACATCTCTTCCTAACATTTCAAAAAGTGTATGGATCTATTTTATTCTTCTTCCATAGTGAACCTAATTTTCCTTCATGTTGCCTATGTGAAAACATGAAACTATCTAAGCTTTCCTTACCATTAGGCCAAATTGAAAATAGTCATGCTTGTATGTAACCAACAATTTAGGATTTAGTATTGCCTTTTCCAAAAAGTGTTTCGTAAGTTCGGTTACATAGTTGTTTGTCAAGATGGGGGCTAAGCAAGATCCCTTATTAAGTCCTTGCGTCTGTTCATACAACTTATTTTAACTTTAATTGCAAGGTACGAAGACCAAGATGGTGTAGTCCTTTGTGTGTTCGCAATCCCCTTTCCTGTTCCAACCCACAAATGACTAGGGCATAGCAAGTCATAGACTTGGTATTAGTGATAAAAACAGGAAGGACGCGGCGGAGACTAGAGCTAGTTGACTAACAGTAGGCCTGTTCTACCATGGACGTCGTCCATGTAGCAAAAGCTTGACGATGAGAATTACTCGGGGTCTTTAGCATCAAGCTGGCCTAACAGATACAGGGGAGGGGTAATAGCGCCTCGAGTAGCATAGATTGAGTGGCAGGGGTCGAGTTAAATACTTGAACTAGGGAGATAGCAGACGGATCCTACGGGGCAAGAGGGAGACTCTGATAAGACCTATGAAAGGAGGACTGCGTAACAATATGGCAGACTCTGATCAAAATTACCGGCACAAGGGTGAAGCACGGTGAGAATGCCAGCGTGGAGTGTGGAGGTTTCTCATGAGAGCCGCTCAAAATGGCACCTTATACCAGATTTACATAAACAAAGGAACAAAATTTTGGTTGTGAAGGCGCGATACTAGGTTATAGAAAAGGGAAATAGCCGTTTAGTACACGTTTGGTCAAAGGATCGGCTCTATTTGTCTCTAACACGTTGTAGTGTGGTGCTGCGATTGGCAACATTCACTGACGATGCCGACTACGATACCGGCGAAACGTCTGCAAATGTACCACGTCCACAGTCTGACTTTGGAAATGATCATGCATACAATGGATTGCGGACTAGGTTCGTTCCTCGAAGTTATCCTACTAATATGACCAAGTTGCGAAAACAAGGTCAAACAACTATTATTTAATGGTAAGATTTAGAAACCGACGCAAGAACTTGCGATCGAATCCTGATTAGCTCCCATCTTTGCGACTAGATGCATTTCTTTGCCTTAAACTGTAAATGTATCCAGAACTCTTTTTTGCGTTCAGACTTATTGGGGTTATGCTACTCACTTGCTTAGTTGAAATGATCACTAGCTCCATTGTTCTCTACATAATCAGTTCTACCCATAACTACTACTTATCCTCCTTTCTTTGCCCTTAGCATTAATTGGTCAGTTCTTCTTTATATATTTATATGTTTATTTCCACATATATTATAATTGAGTCGTCATGATTTCTTATATTTATCTTGATTTTTTTTGTAGCTAAAACCTCTATACTTATTCATAAGCATTGTCCACTAATGGCGCTTGTAAAGGCTTTAGTTTTACATCCTCCTCGTTTTCAAATTTCAGCTTCTCTATAATTCATCATGAAATTGAATAATTGTGTTAATATTACCTTTTTATTTCTTTCCTTTATTATCAGACTTTCATGTCTGCTGTTCCTAATCACCATGTCGCAAAGCAAACTGGCTTGATGAATAGCGAAAACCGAGTTAATCTTGAACAGCATGACCGAGATGAAGAGAGAGGTTCCTTTCTGCATCGGGAGCAGGTAACACATCAGCCTTACGTTAACGGCATCGAGAGGAAAGATGTTTCTGAGAAGACTATTTTTAGCTCAGAAGGTAATATTTTCCACTTTGTAATTTATGCACCCATGGCTCCTGCGACTCAATCGTATATTCTAGACCTTTGCTAGAGTTCATTCTTCTCTTTACTTCGAATTTGTATACCATATATCCCTCGCTCCAGTATTAGTTGGCATCGTAGTCAATAGCGTTTTTTTTTAATTTTTATGACCGTTTTTTCATATTTCTTTCTGTATATATTTACTTTATTTCATCCCTATTATTTGCCT